CTGTGGGGCTTCATAAAACTGGTCAATTTCATCCTCTTCAGCACCAGTGGTTGGGGCATAGATTTGGACTATTGTGATATTGAATGGTTTGCCTTGGATTTGAACTGAGATCATTCTGTCATTTTGGGGATTGTATCCCAGTATTGCTTTTCCTATTCTTTTATTGACTATGAAGGCTACTCCATTTCTTCTGAGGGATTCTTGCCCACAATAGTATACCTGATGGTCATCTGAGTTAAATTCACCCATTCCTGTCCATTTTAGTTCGCTGATTCCTAAGATGTCGATGTTCAGTCTTGTCATCTCTTTTTTGACTACGTCTAGCTTTCCTTGATTCATGGATCTTACATTCCAGGTTCCTATGGAGAAAAAATCTTTACAGCAGCGGACTTTCCTTTCACCACCAGATATATCCACAGCTGAGCGTCCTTTCGGCTTTGGCCCAGTCGCTTCATTCTTTCTGGCGCTACTAGTACTAGCCTTCTGCTCTTCCCCAGTAGCATATTGGACACCTTCCGACCTGAGGGGCTCATCTTCCAGCGTCATATCTTTTTTCCTTTTAGTACTGTCCATGGGGTTTTCATGGTAAAGATACTGGAGTGGTTTGCCATTTCCTTCTCCAGTGGATCACATTTTGTCGGAACTCTCTGCTATAACCTGTCCATCTTGGGTGGCCCTGCACGGCATAGCTTATAGCTTCATTGAGTTACGCAAGCCCCTTCGCCACGACAAGGCAGTAATCCATAAAGGGGAAGGAATATATATATATATATATTTCTATGCAACCATGTGATATGTTTAAGATTTGTGCCTTTCCTAATTTGTGTTAACTGATATGTATGGTGGAAATGACCAGGATGTGAAAACTGAGTGTTCTATTTTCCTCTCCTTTATTCTTTATCTTTGGTTGTGTATGTGTCAAAGTCTTTATGTGTCCTTGAGGTAAAGGTGACTGTTGAGTGTCTCCAATCCTTAGAGAAAAGAATTTTAAATTCTGTTAGAAATAATGTTAAAATGATCAAAGCAAACCAAAAGAAAAATACCCTCACCTTAGTTCACCTGGCCACTTTTAAGAACAGCCCAAAGTTGTCAGAAAGGAATGTTTAATGATCATTTACAGGAACAATTTAATTCTTCCTTTACTGTATGTTCAAGTGGGTTTCATCTATTTAACATCTGTAAAGTTAACCTTAATGTCTTTTCAAAACCTTGCCTACAAGCTATCAACCTCTTCCATTCCACTTCTCCATTTCTTAACCTTGGTTATCCATGCCTTTGTCTGACCACAAAGGGAGAAGGGGACCGTATTCTCATATTTTTCAGCCCTGCACAGATGACTCCACAACATTTGGAAGCAGAGCACTCTGACCCAGATGCTGCTTCCAGAGAAGACACTCCATGCATTTGAACCAAGGAATTGAGTTTGAATCCAGCCACCCAGTAGAGAGTCACCATGCAACCAGAGTGGAACAGATCTTCCCAGATGCCTGTGAAAGCTACAGAGAAAGGAAGGACTCCTGGAGCCACTGGCCCCCCATGTGAAGCCTCAGAGGACAACTGGAAAGACTATGGCAGGAGGGTGGAAACTCATTGTAAGGTTTTCTTTCTTGCCTCATTTGTATTGTAATACGCCAGTTAAATGGATTCATGGAGAGATGGCATTTGGAGTTGGCACAGCAAGTCCTGAACACCTTGGACCTCTGCCTGGTGGGAAGAAAATTTGTCTAGGACATTGTATTGCATGACTTGTATAAGTAGCTGCATACACACACACACACACACACACACACACACACACACACACAAGCAACCATTCAGAATCACACTGAAGCTATTCCCTTCACCTACTTCAGTAAAGCTCCCCAGGCTGTTTCTTGCTCTATGTCATTAAGGCCTTTGCATGCATACCTTCCTGAAAATTCTGAGGGGAAGGGATTCATGCCTCCCTCAGGTGATTTACAGTCCATATGCCCTCACTGAGGAAGTAGCAGAAAAGAGATTTTCAAACCCAAGCCCTGAATATGTTGCTGTAGTGGACTCAGAGTGGGAGTCCTAGTGCTCACTGTGTGCAATTTAAAGAATATTACTACCACACTGACTAACCTCAGTTGGACATCACAAACCCTGGATGCACTAAACTAAGAGCTAAGGCAGGAAACAACCCTTGAAAATGGGCAGCCAATGGTTATGTACTGAAGCAAACCATGGCTGTGAAGAATTTTGAGAGACATGTGCAAACCTAACTGGAACTCAAAATGACATCAAACATCTAAAAGAATTGGCCCAGAATATTGGCCATTGTAAATTTCTTTTCGACCTAACATACTTTTTGCCCTGGCTTTAGACCTTCATGGTTGAAAGACTCCCCTTTTGGGAGCCACTGCAGGGATCTTTTTCCCACACTTACACGGCACAAGGGGGGGAAGACAGCAGCCCCTCCAAAGAAAGAAATATTTTGGGGAATATTAAAAAGGCAGAATATTATATTTCCCCAAAGGAATAATGGAGAAAATCTTAGGCAGAAGGCCCCCCCCCCCAAGTCTCTCTGCCCCAAGCAGAAACCAGCTCTGTAGAAATACAGATTTGATAATCTTGGATTGGACCCTGAAGATTTTTCTTTCAACACAAGTAACTTACTCACAGAAAATTTTATGAATCCTATTAAATAGTAATATGTGAGCATTGGTTTCCTGAGATGGCTCCCTTTATCAGCCTTTGCCTCTGCTATCCCCATTTTACAGGGAGGGGAATATACCATCCTGCTTCTTTCCTCTAATTTGGTAATACATTTTCAGGTGGTATCAGGGGAATAGTCTCTCCTACAATATAGCTTTGAGTGTTTTCCTGTCACATTTCTTCTTCTGCAGTTTATACATTTCTGAAGTGGGAATGCAATCAATTGTTTTTAACTAGATGTTCCTGCATTCAGGAGCTCCAAAAAGCTTTGGGCTTGAGCTTTGGTTATATTTCTTGCTGTCCTGGCTTCTTACATGGACTCATCTGCATGGTGGGTCCTGTGCTAAAAGAGGACCTCAGAAGTCAGGTGGAGCTTTGCTTAACAATAGCAGTCTCATGTCTTCCTATGGGAGTTCAATATTTGGTCATCAGTATCTATATACATATATACAATATACCCATTTGCAGCTTCCTTCTTCCTTTCTTCTCCCCCTTCTATTTATTTCTCTTCTCAGCTAGAAATCCATACACTTCCATACAATATTTCTGTATTCCAAATCATGGGAGCCAAGCTTTTGCAATTACAGGTAGTCCTTATGGTCATTCATTCAGCAACCATTCAAAACTGCAATGGCACTGAATAAGGGGAATCTCCAGTGGTCCTCAAATTTCTAGTTGTCACAGTGTCCCAGGGTCACATGACTCTGATTTCCTATATTCCCTGCAAGCTTCCCACAAGTAAAACCAGGAACCTGGCAGGAAGTTGGAAGACACATTCTAAGAGATTCATGAGTTGCACTAGGGCTAGGCAAACAGCTGGCACTAGTATGTGCATTTCAATGTATATTCCCCTTGGTGTGCCTGTTTACACTCTTGTAATCCCTTTCCCTCAACTCAATGCAACTATAAACATTCTCTTCTTGCTAATTATCCCAGCATCAGAGTGAACATTCCAAAGGGTGGGGAGCAGCAAGATCTTCCCTTTTATCTGGCTTCCTTGTGAGTCCCTTCATTTGGGCTCACTAGGTATATGGGGTCATATCCATCTGATGCTATAAAGCAGACATGTTAAACTTGTGACGTCAAGTGACGTTGTGCAACGTATTAGGACAGTTTTGCCATTGCCAGCAATGGGGTATGCAGGGCTTCCATGTGACACATCTAGTCCACTGGCTGGCAGTTTGACAACCCTGCTATAAAGCAAAGGGAGCTGAAATAAAATCAAACGTACTCACATGATTTTTCACTTAGCAACTATTTTTTGTAACAACTGAATTGTTGGTTCCAATCGTGGCTGCTAAACAAGGATTACTTGTATTCCATCAGCTACATCAGCTGGCTGACCTAATCTGGCAAATCAATTAATGCTTAAAAAAGGCCAGTGAGATAATATCTTATACTTCTCTATAAGTTTCCACCAAACAGCTCTATCACATTCAAGAAGGACACATCAAATTCATTATGAAGTCCCCTTCACTTTGTTCATTAAAGGAAGCATAGCCTTGTTAGTCTATGGTAAACCAAAAATGAGGGAATTGTTAGTTCAAACACTTGCTACAACACTCACTTTGAATGGGTTCACTTCGTATAGAACAATGAATCAGTCATGGCAAATTCTAGCCCATTCGGTTTTAAATAACAGCTTTTGTAGGAATGTAGTTTGGAAAGCCCGTGCCAATTTCTAAACTTTATTTTAATCTTTAATTACTTATAAATGTATAATTTTGTACTATAAAAAACAAATAAACGGCCGTCCCAGAGAGACCCCCCCTGGCCGGGGCGAGCGGGACACCCAGCCTCACCGCCCGCCCCGGCGCCACCACCTCGAGTGCCGCGTTCCCCTCTCCGGCCCCACCACGCGGCGGAGAGGGTGACCCGGAGCCGGGCCCACCCCACCGGCACGCCTCGGCCGGCCGGCCGGCTCCGATCCCGCGCAGCTTCGGCGGCTACCTGGTTGATCCTGCCAGTAGCATATGCTTGTCTCAAAGATTAAGCCATGCATGTCTAAGTACACACGGGCGTGACAGTGAAACTGCGAATGGCTCATTAAATCAGTTATGGTTCCTTTGGTCGCTCCCACCGTTACTCGGATAACTGTGGTAATTCTAGAGCTAATACATGCCGACGAGCGCTGACCTCCGGGGATGCGTGCATTTATCAAAAACAAAGCAAAACAAAAACAATTATAGAAATCCATCTGGCTGAACCTCCATCAGATTCTGAACATCAAAGTAGATTAGGCTATTTCCAGAGCCTCTCTTTCTGGATCTTGGATTAGATTGTGAACGGGAGTTTTAAATGTATCTTTACAAAATATACTAAAATTGTGTGACAGTAAAAATCATTTATGGATTTTTTTTTATTTTTTAAAGAACTTAATACCTCTATATGTAAAAACATCTATTTCAATGATCTATTGTCATTGCTTTAAAATGGGCTGCTGGTTGATAATTCAGATTAATCAAATGTTTACAGCTAAAATATATATATAGAAAATAATCTACATTCTTCACTCCAGATGCATTTAAAAAATGTATTTATAATGTTACATTATGAGGGTGGAGGTTCGTTCTCCGAGCTTGTGTGTTGGTATCTGAATATTTCATTACCAGGCTAGGTAACATCTTCAGCGGAGTTTAGGGGATGTTATATATAATGTTACATTATAATATTTTATCTGCTTAAAGAAGGTCTAGAAATTAATCATTTTCCCAGTAATTACAGTTGGTAAAATTTGCATTTTATGGAACAGGCTTTTAGATTTGGATCCACTGTTTATAATTATATACAATCCAGCTTCATGTGAACATATTAAAGAGAATGATATATGATTTCAGACACTCATCTTCTGCTTCAACAATGCTGTATATGTTCTCTTGTTCATTTACTTAGTTCTGTAAAATAAAATGTGAACAGTAAAGAAATAAATTTGCATCTGTACATTTTATGTAATTCTTTTTTAAACTGAATCATCTGATCTTCAGCAGAATGCAGCCTGAAATAATTTTAAAATATCAAACTACATGGACAATAAAATTCTGAAATGTCAGCACCGCCATTTTTTACATCAAATGAATAAAACTATTCAAGTGATTCAAAAACTGTAGACCATTTTATCACTGAGCAATTTCTATTTTTTAAGATGACTTTTGACACAATCAAATGTAATAACCTTTAATAATTTATTAGGCATTCTTGATATTTTGGGAAATAAACTTTGGCACTCAGAATGAATCTGAATGAATCTCACTCCAAATAGGATTTGGGAATGAGATGTTACCAAACTTTAAATCATCCTCACAGGGGATCCATTTGAGGAAAGATGGAACACAAATGCAGCAAATAAACAAATTCCCATTATCCTCAGACAACACGGCCAATAGAAGAATACTGGGAACTGTAGTCCAGCAAGGCCAAGAAAGTCCTCATTTTTTATCAACTAAGATGTTCTAATAAAATGTCCACTATAGAAATATTGGATATTTACATGTAAATCTCAACAGAGATTTGTATTTCACTAATACCATTATTCAAATGCAAATCCCATCATATAATAAGATTTCTGTTATCCAAACTAAATTTCTTCCATTCAGAGCAATGGGAAAGAAGAACTATGTGGACTGGGATCAATAGAATTTCATTTAGTGATGGATAATCAATCAATATTGTCCAATTCGTTTCAGAGGATCTTCTTGTTCAATCTATTTTTCTATCTATTCTAAGCTTAGAAATATTTCATGGGATGCTTTATTTTACATGTAGTAAATAATGTATGATTACACAGACCTGGTGGTGCAGTGGTTTGAACGCACTATTGCAGGCTAACTCTGTGTTCCCTTTGCCAGGAGTTTGATACTAACCAGCTCAAGGTTGACTCAGCCTTCCATCCTTCCAAGGTTGGTAAAATGAGGACCAGATATTTGGAGTCAATATGCTGAGTCTGTAAACGGCTTAGAGAGGGTTGTAAAATGCTATGGAGTGGTCTAAAAGTCTAAGCGCTATTGCTATATTAGTATTAGTGGTTACTAATTCAATTAATTTTATTTTTTGTTCTGGTCCTGTGGCTTCTGACAGGTATTTATAAATATGCATGTAGACACATGAGTAAGTGAATAAGAATATGCAAGTTTAAAGAGAAGGAAAATATTTCTATATCAATGCAAATGAAATAAATAAAGTAGAATGTATGGGCGTTTATTTGGAACCATTCATTTTGAGGCAACTAAATTTGTTGCACTCAGGCCAATGAAATCAGTGAAAATAGCCCACTGGGTTTAAAGCAGAGTTTCCACTCATTTCACCCCCAGCACAGAGAAATCTCCTGGTATTCATCTTGGAATCTGTCTGGATTCAGCAAAAGACCAGAAGAGATGAAATGCTGGCAGATTCAGCATTCCGTGCCCCATTCCTCATTATTTTTAAGTATTACCCCCCCCCATCCCCATAGTGCTTCTCTTCCATTGCTCTGAACGGAGGGAATTTTATTTAGATCACAGGAATCTTAAGAATTGTTCTGATTTAGAAGAATTGCAGAAGACCAAGTTACCTCAGAATCTATTACATCTACAATTTTAGCTGCCAGACTTTTGACTATTTTAAGTGATTATTTTAATGCATAAATAAATTTACAAAAAAGAGAAAGAAATGTTAATATTGGTAAATTAAAATATTTTTCTAAAAGTATACATACAGGAATGCAATGCGGATAGTCAAATTTCCCATTCACACAATTAACTCTTAATGTGCCAGAATTTGGATGTAGTTTATGGCGTCTTATACATTCAAATTCAACGATATTTCCATCTGCAGAATATATTTTATCCCCATTACTCCACTTCAGTCTTATATTGTGTTGTCTCATATCTTCTTCATTTACTGTACAAGCAGCTGCAGAAGGACACAGATCAAATGACATATAGAAAGTTTGAAGTATTCATTTGATAAAACAATTAAAGTTTAGGTTAGAAATTCTATGTTTCAGGAGGATAAAATGATTAGAGAGCTATGTAAAAGGAATTCTCTCTCTCTTTGTCCCTCCCTTTTCCTTTTGTCTTTCAACTATTATCAGTCATGAACTAAACTACCTAACATACACAAACCTCTTTTAAGCAAGACAACGTTACATGTGTAAAAGGAAGAAGAAAAATGTTTTAGTCTCCTCCTTCTTCCAAATTTCCTCATACTGAATATCTCAATTAGTAGAAGACCATATTCAGACAACTTCTCTTAAAATGTCACCTTATATCTTCTTTTTCAACATTGACTAATCAGGGTAGACGTGATTAAGTCAAAAGAGAATAGTCTGCCTCCATATATAAAATGCCTATTTAAAAAACAATAATTTTAGTTCCTTAGAGATTCAAGTATTGCTATCATTCAAAAAACAAAACCAAAATCCTATGCGATTGTTGAGAAACATGCTTTTTTGTAATTTTTGTTCAAGGAATGATTGATTGATTGATTGATTGATTGATGATGATGATGATGATTAGAGTGCAATGTGTTCTCAGCTATGAAATACTAAGAAAAAAGAAATCTACATACTGAACTCAAGTAAACTAAAATGTGAATTTTTTACAAATTCTTTTCAGTCATGCCATTGATTAAAAAGGTGTTTGTTATGAAATGTAGCTTAGGGAAAGCAGAATTTCAGTGGCAAGTTTACACAAAATGAGGACAACATTTGTAAATGGTGGAAGATTTTGTACGATTGTTCATTATTAGGCAGTTTCTCCCTGAGAGATTTACTTTATCTTGCTTCAGAATACTACCGCTTCTAATTCCATTACAAGGCAGTAAAATACCTTCTGACATGAACATACTGACATAACAGCTCTGATGTCATGAAATTTATTCCATTCCCAAAGTACAATATTTATCTATAAAGAATAAATCTATAAAAATTATAGATATTAGTTATACCTCTACATGTTGGTGTTTGTGACCAATGACCATTTTGACAAGTCACTCTGGGAGAACCTTCCATTGTATAGAAATTTTGGCACTGATAAGTTATACTTTCAGATTGGAAATAGTATGCCTTGGGTGAGTCCACAATGTCTCCATTCTCCACAGGAGGTGGGCGTCCACATTTCCCTCCAATATCTATAATACATACAGAATCTATTGAGCATAATTACAAATATTATAGTTTACAATATAATATGCTCGTGATTACAAATATTATAGTGTACGCACACAAAGAATGTTTTAAACCTACATAAGAAATTACATTGCAAAAGTACACAAATTCTTATTTTTAAAAAGCAACAATGTCCTACAGCTTATTTAACTAATAGGCAGAAAATGATTACCAGTGTTGTCTCTAGTGTTGTCTTTCAACTTTAGAACATATTGTGTCATTACTTTCTTAATACCTTAAGTCAGATCTGTGTTAAAATGAATAGCAATTGCTCTGGGATAAATGGCCCAAGGCATTCTTAATTATATTACCCTTTCTCCATTAACAACTGTTCAAATCCTGCACAAATAAATTGTGTAGTTGTATTGGATGTTATGCCCCCTATGTCAGTATTGAAGTGATGGGACGGCTTGCAAAACAATAAAAGCAAGAACATTTTAAAAAATTATAAACATTAAAATTAATAGAGTACATAATTAGTACACTGGTGGAATCTTCTTTCTTAGTCCACCAGTCATTTCCAGTGTAAAATGTCCCATCATGGTTCCAATTGGCCAATTGGCTGAGCCAGTTTTTAAGGCAAATCCAGAAGGCCTAGAGGATGAGGGTGTATTTTGCCTTCAGCAGCAAGATTTTTCTAGATATTTTTTTTGGGGTCGGGGAGGCATAGCAGATTACTAGATCCTGCCAGCCGAAGTTCCTTGACTGAGAAGGTCTGCAGCATGTTCCTTTTGCAGGAAGGAGCGGGGTGGGTCAATCCCATTGGGGTGAGACAGTCTCCCATACCATGAAGGGCTTTAAAGATGATGTCTAACCCACTGAATTGGACTCAGAAGCAAACCAGCAACTAGTGCAACTCATATTACAGCAATGTTACATGCACCATTGAACAGGCATTGTGAATCTAAGAGAACCCATAGGTTGTACACAGGATCTGTCTAGGGCAGTGCAATCCCATCCAGAACTGAAGATGTTAAATGCCCAGATCCCAAAGCTCCAAGCAGCCATAGCAACACAGTCTTATCAGGGTTCATTTGAAGCCTGAGGTTCCCCCATTCAGACACCCACAGCATCTAAGGAGGGGACAGCATAATGTTTCTTTAAAGTCCCATGCATGCTCCCTTCTGCAGTGATGCATTGATCATGACCTGGAGGTCACCATCATGGAGATTTTCACCAGCCAGGATAGACATGGATTTAAAATGCAGGTAGTTGCATTGACAGCGTTGAGGACCCTGTCCTAACAAGATCAATCTTTTCCCAGATAACTGGGTAAGCCATCTCTAATGGCCCTGCTCTATGTTTGAGAATGGATACAAGCAACTTTTTCCATCAGGTGTTCCACAAATTCCTCCACATGGCCCTGAAGATGATCATCCAAGTCCTCCTTCCCAGGAGGAACCCTATCATCTTAAGTATGGCCATTGGGTGGCACTCTGCAAATGAGATAAGAGCAGAAAAATAATGTATTGTTTCACCACTCTTACCACCACAAAGCTACCTTAACAATGACTCTGATCTGTGTCCTGTCAGATTTGTCCCTTGTTTTCCTCCAGTGCCTCTCTAGACATCTCTTGACCTTTTTCAAACCCTTAACTCCTCCATGAATCATGGAGAAGGCCAGGAGAGAAGGGTTAAAAGAGGCTGCATGGATGCAATCCTATCCAAAGCGTAGCCATATTCTGATTCCAGGTCATAGTCAGAGTAGAATTCCCAGGGTATCCTGCCAGATCACATTCCCATTGCTTCAAGAAAATCATATCTGGAATGTGACTATTGTCATGAGTTGGGCTGTAGATGACCTTGGATAGGAATATGGTGGCCAAAAGAGATTCCTGGATGATACCTCCTTCTCCTCTACCCTGAGGTCTTAACTGGTGCTAAACCCTAAACCCAGCTGCACACATCTCTGAGAGGGAGACTCCCCATTCTGGAGTGTTCCTGGACTTGGTGATAAATGCCAGGTTGGCTGCTCTTCATCAATAAAGCCACAAATAAGAGAAGCTTTGTTATTAACTGATCTAGCATTTACTAACAGCTGAATACATGGGCTACTGAGAATCTGCTATCCAAAGACTGGCCATGACGTCAGGAACATGTCACTGGTATTAAATATAAGGGATGTCTTCATCTGTAATTGGCCACCCTCTGGCTCCTGTCTAAGACTACTACATGAAAATGTTTTATTTTCTGAAAAACCTCTTCCCATTTTGATCCTGTTGCCTAGAACTCTTATCTATTTCTCTAATTACACTCTTTTCTATGAAGGCTTTGATTTACTTCTGGAGGAGGCATTTATGAGAAGGGAAGATGTCAAGTGGCTGGAGGGGGCGGGGGGGACAATGGAAAAAAAGTGTACATCCTCTGCCCCATTTGTACTAATGTCATCATATTGCAGCCATAACAAAAGGGTATAATTTGCATTTTGATGAAAGCATCAGATCTTGTGAACAGATTCTGTGAATAAAATTCCAATGAGAAATTGGGCAATACAACTAAAAGGTGTATAGGAAGATGTAAGGCAGACTTCAAAGAATAGAAAGAAAAATCAGAATTTGAAGAGTTCTCATATATTAGCATACTCTTACGGGGAAATCAGGAACCAGCCAAATTAAAGACCGAGTTACTCAAATTAGCAGACATGAATCAAACCATTGGGAGGACATATGGGCAATGATTGAAAAGTTTTCTGGATCTCAGATTCTATTGGCAAGGGATTTCGGTGGAAAATATACCATTTTATCAACCTTGCCCAAATACCAATGATTAAGTCCCAAGGGATAGAAATATAGGTCTTCTTCTCAAGATGGTTAAGGGTAACCAGTAAGAAAAGGTGGAGTTGTACAATCAAGATTGATGGGGAATGCATTAAGGTAGAAAAATGTAGGTTGAAGATAGGGCAAGTTATGCTCCACTGAATGATAATTATGAAATATCCCAAGATGGGTTTTGGGAAAAGGTGTGTAGCCTTCGGAATGATTGCAATCTAGGGCAAAAAAATAAAAATAAAATAAAATTGGGGAGCATGAAAGAATGGGAGAAAATAAAAGATTACAGAAAAAGTGAGTGAATCATTCAGAATGATGAAAGAATGAATGAAAACAGTAATTATTTGGGATTTAATGCTTAATGATAGAACTTTATGCTTTGAATACATGTGTTAAGCATATATTTGTTCATGTTTATGTGAAGCAAAGAAATGAACCTACAACATCCTGGGATAGTTTATGAAAAAATGTGAAAGACTTAATGAAGCATAAGGGAGTTTTTGTATTTGGGCAGAACATGTCTGCGTCTTCAGAAAAAATGATGGACATAGAGCAAAGTAATATGAATAATAAAGTGAAAGTAATTCAACTGAACATAGCAGTCTTGCAAAAAGTCAAACCATAATTCCGCCAGATTACATTAGCAATTAGATTAATTTTAAGAATTACTAGAAAACCAACATGAAAAGGTGCTAGTAACAGACTGAAAAATATAGTTCAAAAGTGAGTGGGATTATGATACTGATAAACATGAAATATAATATTAGTGAGCAGCTAAATGTTTAGACGATGCTTAGTGTTGAACTGGAAAAGACTGTAAACAAGAAAATATATAAGGGAACAATTGTGGGAAATAAAAATAAAGATGAGAGCAAGACAGTTTATAATGTGCTCAGAGAATTGCAAAAAAAAAAAAAAAAGTAGCCAAAGAGAATAAACATTTAAGAGTTGCTGTTATTCAGAAGGGCAGAGAAAATGCAGCACAATTATGAAGGAAATTTAAAAATTTCCTTCATAATTATTGGAGTAAGCTGAAAAGCCTGAACATGGAGCCTTCTGCAGACTATATAGAGGGGTTTTTGTTTATTTTGTTTTGTTTTTTTAAAAAAGGGAAACAATGAGTTGGGATGAAACTGAAGTGAGGGGATGCTGGAAGAAGCATGCAAATATGATGCTACAAATGAGCATGCAAAGAATAGGGATAGATTGAAGGATGGAACTGAAAAATATGGATAGAATGCTATCGATATTATCACCAAAAGAAAAGTCACAAAAAGACCATAAATGCTGAAAAAAAATGGTAGGGTAGGCAAATTAGATGGTGTATTGGGAGAAAATTTAAAATATGTTTTCAGTGTGAAGTGATTACAGTGCCTAGGGCTGGGGAACCGAAATTCAAGTTGACCATCAGCCAGGGTACTTCAAAGGATGATTTGGGACCACTCATGCTTTTTCAGCCCAACATACCATCCAAGATGGGTTTCTGAGGAAGAAAAATCAAGGAGGTATTGCTTTGTCTTGGTCTCCTGGAGGACAAGTGGTGGCACATAAATGTTACAAAGAAATGGATTATGAAATAGTGGAAAATCTGTGTGGCTTATTATACATGGATGTTTAATTTAAAATTGGGAGAAGGCTCATATTGTTCCCATGGAAAGGGAAAGGTAGTGTGGGTGAGTGAAAAGCTACAGGGAGATTGGTTTATTAATTGTTCCTATGAATGTACCTGGGAGAGAATGAGCAAAATTGGGGAAGTGCAAAAAGGTTTTATGCTTGGCAGAGATATACAAGTGATATTGTTGTCCTTTAGGCGGACAAAGGAATTAAGAAATTCTTAATTTCTTAAAATTAAGAAATATTTGTATGTGAGAAAGAAATTCTATTGCAAGTTTGTTGATTTAGGAAAAGTTTATGATAAAAAGAACAGGCTTGGAATTACGGAATATTCTGTGTACAGTTGAAAGTTGGTTCCTGAATGTGATAATAGAGGTATTAGAGACATATAAAGCAAGCATGACAATCAAAGGAACACTTAAGTAAGCAGGAAGTAAGACATGAATATGTGATTTCCCTCCCTCCCCGTGATATTTAATTATTATACATTCCTTTATAAAAGTATAATGAATAATTATAAGAAGGCTTGCATTGGTTGGGGACATGAATGTGAATATATTTTCATTTATGGGTGAAGTCATATTGTTGGCTGAGAATGGAAATGAAGGGCAAACAAACTTTAGATATGTGAATGGTGCAATGAGGAGTGATGTAGGAAACTCTCAAATAATTAGATTTGAAAGGGAAAAGGGAGTACAAATTATTAATAAATGGAAAAAATGAAGCAAATGGGCCAATCTATATATCTTGGTACAATGACTGTAGTTGTAAAAATGGATGGAGAAGTTAACATAAGTTATACTTTTGAGATTTTTAAAATGACAAGCAGTTTTGTGTTATACAGTATCATAGGACTGAGGAGAGGCTAATTGTGAAATAGAGATCAATGTTTGTGCTCCAAGGGACACATACTCTTCCAAGTGAGGAAAAAACTTTGAGCTATAAAATGAACTCAATAGATTTATAAAAGTAGAAATTCAAAATTTTGCAGAAGAGGGGCAATGTTAATGAAAATATATTCTCCTTTCACAGGGACATTAAATTTTATAATTCTAGCAATAAAATATTGAAAAAACTTGACAGAATCTTTTCAAAATAATCTGAAAGAGACAGTGAAGTTAAAGCAAATTAATTTCCAATTCTATCTTTATTTTGACATAGTGAAGATCTGTACATAAATACCTGAACAACGTGGTGCTTGTGACCAACGTTTCTTCAAACATTTAACGAAAGGAGACCCAAGAAGAGCATAACGTGGGTTGCATCGATACTGCACCTTCTCCTGAGGCAAATACGTCTCCTTTATTATATTAACAATTCGACCATTTTGAATTTGAGGGGGAGAAGAACATCTTACATCTAAAATGATAATTAAAAAATAGTCCCATTTAGATAAAATGCATTGGTTTTCTCAAAGCAAGTGTCTCTAAACATGCTTCCACTTTTGAAACCAAAACAGATCATGCACATCATATGACACAGAAAATACAAGGGTGGCATGGACCGGTCTCTGGTTTTAAGGTAAATAAGAATAAAACTAAAATATTATTGAAAAATATGTCTAGGAAGGGAAAAGATTTTATAGCTGAAACAACCGGTTATGAAATAGTTAATAAGGTTAAGTATTTAGGAGTTTATATTACAACATCTAATGGAAAATTGTATAAGAATAATTATGAGCTTATGGGTTAAAGTTCAAAAAGATTTAAATGATTGGCAAAAGCTACAACTATCGTTATTAGGGAGAATTTCAGTAGTGAAGATGAATGTTCTACCAAAGTTTCTTTTTTTGTTTCAGATGATACCCATTTTAAAGAAGGATGCTAATTTGGATGAGTGGAAGAAGGGTATTAATAAATTTATTTGGGGCGTAAAGTTTAAGATTTTACAAGATGCTCGAGAAAGAGGTGGACTTAAAGCACCAAATTTGAAATTATATTATGATGCGGCCACTTTAACTTTAGTAAGTGACTGGCTCAATTTAACAAATAGAGATATTCTTGTTCTTGAAGGTGGGATTTATTATATGGTTGGCATGCATATTTAATTTTTGATAAGAAAGTAGATTTGGTCTTTAAGTCACATATTTTAAGATATGCTTTACTCCGAGTTTGGAAAAAATATTATTATAAGTTAAATTATAAAATACCTATTTAGGGGATCCCTGGACAAGCAATCCAGGGGGTTTCCAAGGGGGTGAATTTTGACAACATTTCGTATAAAGAGTTACTTATTTGGTTGGGTACTGATTGGCAATTAAAGTCTTCTGATGTGTTAAGGCAAGAAAACATTTTACAATCGTGGTTTCAATATTTGCAAATTGTGCAGAGATGGACTTTGGATAAGAAAGTGGGAATTACTTTAGTAGATGAAAATTTGGTAATTCAGATCAAGGATCAGAAATGTGCCCATATTAAAAGAATTTATAATGAGTTAATAAAATTGGATTTAGAAACAGAGTTAGTTAAAGATTTTATGATTAAATGGGCCCAGAATATTCAAGAACCAATCTCGTTGGACTTATGGGAGGTAATTTGGACTAGAAATGTTAAATCTACGCAAGCCCAGAATTTGAGGGAAAATTTTTACAAAATGTTTTATAGATGGCATCTGGATCCTAAAAAGCTGTCCTGTATGTACCCGAACCTGCAACCTAAATGTTGGAGATGTGGTTGCTTGGATGCAACCCATTTTCATGTTTGGTGGACTTGTAAAGTTATTAAAGCCTTCTGGATTATGATTTGGTGGAACATTCAAAAGGTTTTTAAAAGGAAGATTAAGTTTACTCCCCAGCTGTTTCTTTTGGGAATTTTCGTGGACTTTAATGTTAAAGAAACTATTTTAATGTTGAATTTAATAACAGCAGCAAGATTACTGGTGGGTCAATATTGGAAGAAGGATACTCTGCCTTCTTTAGAAGAATGGGTATTTAAGGTTTCTAATTTAGCAGAAATGGCTAAAATTTCTGCTTATTTAAAGGACCATTCACAAGAGAGATATTTTAACGTATGGAGAAGATGGATAGAATATGTTCAGAAGAAATATGGAACTACAAAGTTTCACTTATTCTATGAGTAATGATTTTGTTTATAAAGTTATGATGTTAAAGTTTGAAGAGAGTTAAAGGTTTTTATGATTTTGTTCATTGTATAATTAGTAAACTTAAATAGATTATATTTAATATGTTTGCATAATCCTGTATTTTGCTCTGGGAAGTCGGGGGGAGGAGGGTGGGGGGAGAGGGGTGGGGGGTGGATGGGTTGAAGTTTAAGTAATTCAGATAAAGTAGAAATAGTCTTATTGTATATAATATTAATGTTTTAATTTTGAGAAAGGAACTGCTCGGGCATTTCCCCTGGACCGCATCAAGAGGGAGGAGAAGAAGGTGAGAAGTATGTAGGAAGGTTGAGGTGAAGGAGGAGAGGGGCTGAGTGAAGAAAAAGAGGGAAAGAAGTAAGTTGGTTTGAGGTGGGATGCGGTTTGGGGAGAAATGGGCGGGCAAGACCGAATGTGGTGTGTATCAATTTGTTTTATTTTTTATCTGAAGTATTTGTAAGATTGTTATGTATTGTAAAGTTGAAAATAAAAATTTTTACAGAAAAAAAAAATACAAGGGTGGCCATGCAGGCTTGAGGCTGCTTCCTTTTGAGGTGAAGGGAATGTGAGGCTACAGACAATGGAACCTCCTCTTCCTCCTACAGTGCCTGTTTCTATCCTTCTTGAAGAAATGACACTGTGTGCTTTCAATCATCACTATCACGATACTGTACCTGATCAGCCTTACTTTAATGGTGGTGGTGTGTTTGTGTAAGTAATTTCCCCTGAAATTTATTTTGTAGGATGAGTGTCAACCTGGGGGTTGGGGGAACCTCTATAAAATCTCTTTACTAATTTTGTTTGTAAAAGCAAAAGAAGAATACAGTGTTGGTATGTAATTGGTAACTGTGTATTAGAGCAATTCTGAAAGATTGTATTGAAAACTGGATTATCCTGCAAGAAATTTAATCAGATAAATCCTTCTAAGAACTGCATGCAGAGAACAAGTTGTCTAATAAACCTCTGCATGATGACTATTCTGGCCTTTCCCTTTCCAATCAGTCTCTCACAAAACTGGATATCAAAGTAATGGAGGCAACTGTTCTGGACAGATTGCGTCTAAATGGAGAAAGGATGCAAAGAAGTAGTTTTTGTTATTTACTTTTATTAATTTTTATCAGGGATAAAGATAACAGTGCTAGGATTTTTCAGACATTCACTAAAGCAGATAAGGATCAAAACCAGAGTGTTAAGTGACTAATTTAGGTTTTGAAAATATTCTACCGTATCTCTATATTTGGATTAATGGTATTTTTTTTAGAATGTTCCTTTATATTCAATTTATTCAGACGAGCTATTCTCATATTTAATAGAAGAGAAAAAGTGAGAAAACTCATTTGCTAGAACAATTGTTCTGCTGCGTGGATATTAAATAATTAAATCATGTTTATTCCAGTACAGATCCTAAATGGCTAATTTCAATTTTTTGAAGTGATTCAAGAGAGATAGAAGAGAGATATAGGCCAAAAATAAATTATGACAAAATATATCATCCATATTAGGCCATCTCAAGTCACAAAATTGTTCACATGTTGGTCAGTTCCAAGAATTCTTCTATTGGTTAATTTAAAGAAGCCGCCTTTGCCCATACAATGGCAAGAATCATTCAGTCTCTGGAACAACAAATGCCTGATTGCCTGAGTCTCCACAGATTCAAAAAGTAAGACAGCAAGTGCGGCCTCTTTCCTTTAAACACCATTTTTCAACAATTCTGTTTAGAAAACAATTACCTGGAGTAATTCAAAAATAAAATAACTGTACCAACACAAGTGAACGATCCCATCCATTCTCCTTTTCTACATGTTTTGCTAGCATTGCCTTCAGCATAAAATCCTCGATTGCATTTATAGTTTATTATTTCTCCAGGATCATATTCTTCTCTGTCTTCTTGCTGCAATGAAGCATTGTGGATTTCCGGGGGTGGACCACATGACTTTTCTGAAAAACAAAATGGAAAAGGCTACTTTCAACACAAATTAATTTATGCTGATTTCTTTAAACATTAACAATTCTGCATATCATTATCAATGCCAGTTTTTTAAAAGTTAAGATGCGAGAGCCCAGTTCAATTTACCCTAACCTTTGGAAAGAATTCCTTCATGGGGGGCTGTATGTTTCAGAAGTCCAATACATTTTTTAAATAGAATCCTAAATATTGCAGGAGATTATGAGATATAATCTAGACTATTAAATCAGAAGAGCATAATTTAATGTTGTGTTATTTAAGTATAACTGCAGTGTGTATTTACTAAAATTCATTTTCTTTCGCAAGGGAATAAGCTGAAGAAATTGATTAAAGTTTGGTTTTTGATTTGCAAAAAATGCTTCTCTGCCCTGTTTTTCTCTAAAAGAAACCACCAAAAGTTTTTGAGTTGTTTCAGGATTTAGTAAAACTACATTCTAAAAGCAGATCAACAGAAACTAATGGGAACTATTCTAGATGCCACAGGACAGAGTCGTAGAGTGTGCCATTTCTGAAGATGTTGCCCTTATGTACAAATGACTGGTTTAAGGTTTGAGTTTTACAAATAATTTCTTGCATCCATTTTCTGGAAAATGGCTATTGGAAGTTGAAAAGCTCACCCTGACTGTCCTATTTTTTTTTATAAACAAATATTAAAATGTTCTTTCTTGAAGAGGAACATGAGTGGTTATGGATTATCTACAAAAACAAACTCACATCAAAGAAAGGTATTTCAGATTCCAACTCCTGCAATGCATCTTCAACACAGAGAGGAATATGGAAAGTTGCTTTGTGAAATTTTATTTTTAACTTTAAAAAAATCTTAAAGGGATCAGGTCTTTATTTAGTAAGAAACGTCAAATTGCTCTAGATCTCTTGTGGGCAATTTACCTGTTTGGTCTAAGTATCTAATGCTTGGGAGATAATGTCTAAATATCTAAAGAATCAGACTTTTCCTATCTTTATCCCTCTAAATTGATGTACTGTAACTAAGAGCTTTTGGGCAAAAATCCCAACTGTCTCATTATAATTTCTATTTAATTTGAGCTTTTTCCAGTATAATACGAGAATATTAACTTTCTTGGTCATTCCAGTCTTATTGATAAATAACATTGCAGGTGCATTCAGTAAGATAAGAATTGATTTATCTACTACATATAGGCTGAGTATAGGTAATCAGCACTTCCACTGTTCCATTTGTCAGGAAATCCTTGTAAATGACAATAGTACCACTCAGGATTAAATGCTAGCTTTGTAAGAAAAGGGATGGTAATGCAATTACCTGGGTAAAAAATATGCACTTCTGATTGTAAAGAATCTCCCTGGAATTCTCTGATAATAACTAATGGCTAAGTAATGTCTAACACAGGGGTTCTCAACCTTGGCAACTTTAAGACTTTGGACTTCAACTCCCAGAATTGCTGGTCTAACAGCACAATCTTAGTTTAGAGACAAAACCTGTAAGGAATTTTCCTGGATAACGTTTTCAATTAGCATCTTTTTGGGAGATTTCTCTGTTAGTAACTTAAGTCAAAAACTCTATGTGCACAGACACTGTAATGAATGTTTTGCAGTAAACATTTTAAAAAGATATGTGCACAACACATCCACATGTTCAGAAGCAGACAGATACACATTAAGAATATAACATCCTTCTCAGTTTCTCTTCCACAGCTGTACTCTTAAGTAGGTAAGCATGTGTATATATTTTGGATAGTGGAATGTATTTTGGCATACTAATGATCCCTATTGTAATTTTTTCATTAAACATTCTTTCTATTCTCCAAATGGATTTTTTCCCCATGACATGGGAAAATTATTTTATGTACTGAAGCAAGGTTTCTGGTAAAAGATGTATCCTTTGGCATATAACCTGACAGATTTATTTATTGTATATGTTGAACATGAGCAGTGCCAGAATGCATTGTTGTTTTACCCTTGTGAAAGGAAAAAATATCTTAATAATTCTTTCTGTATAAATCAAACATATTTCTTTAATAGTCAATTAAAATAAAGGCAATGTCTGCTGAGAAATACTTAGTAAAATGAAGAACTGTGACCTTTGCAGTAGATGGTGAAAGATTGTGGTTGACACACATTTTACACAGGAACAGAGTGCTGAAACAGATAGCATAGGAACTGAGGAACTGAGCCTTGTTCACAGGTACAATGACATGAGTAGAAATGGTAGTGAGGGAAATAGTGGTTAGAGCAAAGACAAGGAAGAACAGGAAACTGGCTTGCCCAGTGCTCTTCAACATCTTCATCAACGATTTGGACGAGAGAATAGATGGGGAACTCATCAAATTTGCGGATGACACCAGGCTGGCAGGAATAGCCAACACTTCAGAAGACAGGCTTAAGATACAGGAGGACCTACACAGGCTTGAACACTGGGCACTATCTAACAAAATGAAATTCAATGGTGAAAAAAGTAAGGTTCTACATTTAGGCAAGAAAAACCAAATGTACAGGTATAATATAGGGGGTACCTTGCTCTATAGTAACTGTGAGAGGGCTCTCAGAGTCCTAGTGGACAATCACTTAAATGTGAGCCAGCAGTGTGCTGCAGCTGCCAAAAAAGCCAACTCAGTGCTGGGCTGCATTAACAGAGGAATAGAATCAAGATCACGTGAAGTATTAATACCACTCTTCAATGCCTTGGTAAGGCCACACTTGGAATACTGCATCCAGTTTTGGTCACCACGATGTAAAAAAGGTGCTGAGACTCTAGAAAGAGTACAGAGAAGAGCAACAAAGATGATTAGGGGACTGGAGGCTAAAACATATGACGAACGGTTGCTGGAATTGGGTATGTCTAGTTTAATGAAGAGAAGGACGAGGGGGAACGTGATAGCAGTGTTCCAATATCTCAGGGGCTGCCACAGAGAAGAGGGGGGTCAAGCTATTCTCCAAAGCACCTGAGGGCAGGACAAGAAGCAACAGATGGAAACTAATCAAGGAGAGAAGCAACATAGAACTAAGGAGAAACTTCCTGACAGTTAGAACAATTAACCAATGAAACAACCTGCCTCCAGAAGCGGTGAATGGTCCAACACTGGAAGTTTTTAAGAAGAGACTGCACAACCATTTGTCCAAAATGGTATAGGATTTCCTGCCTGAGCAGGAAACACAATAGTCAGTTCTAGGAAAAGAGAGTTGACCAGGAGGTCAGTCCCAAGCAGCCATAGCAACATAGTCTTATCAGGATTCATTTGAAAGAGAAAAGGAAGTACAAATTATTAATAAATGGAAAAAATAAAGCAAATGCAATCTATACATCTTGGTAGAATGATGACTGTAGGTGTGAAAATGGATGGAGAAGTTAGCATAAGTCTTATATTTGAAATTTTTAAAATGACAACCAGTTTTGTGTTATACAATATCATAGGGCTGAAAAGGAGAGGCTAATATTGAAATAAAGATCCCATGTTTGTGCTCCAGAAGACATATATTTCCAAGTAAGGAAAAGCTTCAAGTTATAAAATGAACTGAATAGATTGAAATAAGTAAATTAACAGTGTTTTAATACTATTTTTATTTCCCAGTATTCACTTTTAGTGATACAGCCAGAATCACTTGTGCACTTTTTGTAATTCAAGTAGCTTGCTCACCATAAAACACCAAAATTGAAAGAAAAAAACCAAAGTGGCCTCCCTTAGCATTTTTCAGCTTAACAGCAATTTGCTTTTTATCATTTCATGGCTCCTACTTGAATATACAAAAGGAAGTTAAGGAGCTTCCTTTTATATATATATATATATTTCATCTATTCCTCTGCCCCAAAAAAACTCAATGTCTGATATAACCCTCTGGTTCACATGGTTAAGTTTAACCATCTTTCTAATTAACCACAGTACAGTGGATGAACTCAACTAATGAGTGACACATGGAGGATTAAAATTTTACCTGGATTTAGTAAACAATCCTAAATGTATGTTTACCAAAATTCTTGAAAAAAATGATCATCAGGTTTTCTTAGCTGGAGATGTAAAAAAAATTGAGGGTTCATAGACTTAATAAAAATAATAATAATAATAAAGTTGGAAGGGACCTTGGAGGTCATCGAGTCCAACCCCCTGCTCAGGCAGGAAACCCTATACCATTTCGAACAAATGGTTGTCCAGTCTCTTCTTAAAAACTTCCAGTGTTGGAGCATTCACCGCTTCTGGAAGCAGGTTGTTCCACTGGCTAATTGTTCTAACTGTCAGGAAGTTTCTCCTTAGTTCTAGGTTGCTTCTCTCCTTGATTAGTTTCCATCCATTGCTTCTTGTCCTACCTTCAGGCGCTTTGGAAAATAGCTTGACTCCCTCTTCTTTGTGGCAGCCCCTGAGATATTGGAACATACTTATATAATATGGTCATGTAACCAGTACTTTTTTAAATATGGTACTTATATTCATGGGAAAATCTTTAAATGTTGAAGATGTTAATGTGATTTTGAATTACCTATAGCCACCCAGAGTCACCCTATCAGGGAGACAGGCAATATATAATTTTAATAAATAAAAATAAAATAAATATACCAATATTTTCAATCTGATTGTATACGATTGCATCATGCATAGAGGTCGTTAAAAGAAACATATTGAGAAATTGAAAAATAATATTACAGAAGTAACGCTTTTAGAAATATATAACTTATCTATCTTGGAAAAGACAACATTCTTTACTAATCAAAGGATGAAGCAACCTGTACTATTTTGGCAAAGACTGTATATTTTGCAATAATGTTTTGCATTTGATTTTACTCTAGTACCATATGGTATTTATTAGTAACCCTAGTCACTATTGATCAATCAAAGGAAGATATTTTTATTATTATTATTAGCTCATTGGATTTTTTTTCTCCCTTTTCTCATTTAAATATCTTTTTAAAAATTAAAAAAAAATGGTTACCAGAATTCTGTAGATGTGCAGAAACAATTCTGTGCTCAAAGCCTGGACTTAAAATGTGCTCAGAGGCCACTTCCAA